TATAAAACTTTGCTTATAAGCTGTTTTATACTGAAAAACTGGATTAGCCATTTAGCCAGCGTAGAGGTTTAAGACTTTGCTTAGACAATTTTTCCACTTGGGGGTAAAGAATAAATCAAGTGCACGTGGGTTTTTTTTTGTATGATTGGATTTGCTATCTTGATTTGTGCATTAGAATGGTGGATGTTTAACTTGAAGTAACAGTAGAACATATATAATATATATTAATATGAGTACTTCTTGTATTTCAACATAATAAAAATTTTATTTAGATGATAAGAAAAAAAAAAGGCTCTTCAATACTGAAAAATAATTTTTTTTCTTTAGCAAAATTTGAAATTTGTAAGAGAATAGAGTTACTTATAAATGATTTAAAAAATAAGTTGAACCAAACAACCTATTAATGTAATTTGAGTTAACATGGGTGTGGTTATTGTCACTATCAATAGTGTTTAAAGATACCTAAATTTTAGTTTTTTTTTTTTAAATAGTGTTTGAAAATCAGTTTATTTACTAATTTTAATTTATTAACTAATAAATATTAACTGTTATATTAATTATTAATCAATAATTACAGTTATTAGCTATTTTTATCATCAAATTAAATAAAATTAATATTATTAAAGATAATATTTTACAATTTTAATGACTATAACATTATTGTTAGTGGTTATAACCATGCCCTAAGGGTTCCTCTACTCCATAGCCCCTTTATAAGAAAATCATAGGTTAGAGATTTTATTTACTCCTTTTGGTTTTGATTTATTTATTTCATTTTGTCCAATCATGATCACTAATTAAGAAATTCAATTATTACAATAATTAAGACTTATCTTTCTATTTTTATCCTTACTTATAATTAAACAAAAACACCCTAACATATTTCTATCTCTTCTTAGATAAGAGTAAAAAATTGAAATATTAGCATTTAATATCTTATATATTAAAATAAAAAGTGAGACAATTAAATTTAAAAATAGTAGAAATTTATGGGACATACTAAACCTAGGGTCTATTTGGTTATATTTCAATTTTATTAAAAAAAATTTTATTGAAAAAGTAGTTGAAAAAGTACTATACATAAACTTGATAAATTTTGTAATCAAATTTTGTTGAAATTTTAGTTGTTAACTTTTTTATATTTAGTAAGAAATTGACTTTAAAAAATTAAATTAGTAAAAAAATTATTAAGTGAATCTTATACAGAAAAAGTTTGGTGAAAACATTTTCCATTCAAAAAAGTGTGGAAAAAATTATTGATTGGAAATTGTATAAAAAACTAAAAAATAAAAATATGACTTTTATCCTACTTTTATTCTGGTGTTAAAATATAAAAATACATATAAAACCTTATAAAGAAAAAGTTGGGAAGAAAGTTTTCCTTCTCCACCAAACACACCCATAATCAACGCAGACACCGGAAAACCGGCTGCAATTAAAAAGTCATGCTCCAATTAATATGACAATGAATTTCACAATCATTAATTGTTGTTTACAAGCTAACCGGGCCTGTGGTCCAATTGGTTGGCCCCCAAGCTTTAAGGCTTGGGTGAGGCGGAAGTCAGGGCTTCGAGCTCTACCATCGTCGTGAACTCCACCAACTTACGACCTAATGGTCGCGCACCTCAAATGAGGGGGTGGAACGTTCACTTTCTTGGAAAAATTCCAACTGCTAACAAACTAACTCTATTAACTTCCTAACCATCTACCTGGTAAAAAAATAAATAAATAAATAATTGTTGTTTACAAGGGACAAAAACCTTTTCGTGTTCCGAGCTTACCTAACCTTCGCTAGATAATTAATTTCTCATGTCCAAAACTCTATATATATCTCGTGCTCATTTCCATTTATATTCATCCAAGCAATTATCTCAACTTAACTGAGAAATGTTGTCCAATATGAAAGTCTCTGGATTTCAAGTCTTGTGCTTCCTTCTCTTTTTATATGTCTCCCATGGCGAAGCTTGGCGTCGTTATAAGTTCGTTGTAAGTATATACGCCGGTCTCAATTAAGTCAGGAAAATAACAATGCCAGTCATGAACTCATGATGTTAATTGTAAATTGCTTTTGCAGGTTGAAGAAGTTCCTTACACGA